CCCCCCCCCCCCCTCCCTCCTTCTCGCCTCGGAGCACACATGCGGGCCCAGGGCATGGCTAACCACCAGCCCGCGGTTCAGATCAGCTATAACCGCGCTGTTCGACCGACAGATCTACGGCCACGGCGACGAGAGCCGGGGAATCATCGGTCAGATCAGAAACATGCTCGACGACCTATGGGTATCCTGCGCTTCGAGGACCACCGAGCACACGTTGCGGGAGCGCGATGCGGGCAAGTGGCCCCAATATGCGGACAGACTCGACTTCCTTGTTTTCGCAGGCGGCATGGGGGCCAACGCCTATGTGCAGGACAAGATCAAGGCCGGGCTGGAGCGGGAGCAGCCCCCAGCGCTCGGCATGCTCAGCAATATCACTGCCGGCGTCCAGTACGTCGTCGCCGAGTCGCCACAGCACTGCGTCTCCCAGGGCCTGGTGCGGGCGCGCATGCGGGAGGTCCAAGGCAAGCAGAAGAAGGGCGGCTTCTGGCGGCTCCTAAACCCGTTTTTCAAGAAGAACAAGTAGACCCCTGGGCAGGGCCCAGCCCCTCTTCCATCAGGCGCACATGAGTTGTGGTATCACGCGATGCCGCCTGCACATGATATCGACTCGCTTCTCCTGCCGGCCTCTTTTCAGCCTCTAGTTAGTTCGTAGGATGAATGGATTGCTCTTGCGTTGACGCCATGTGCTGTCGAGCTGCCAACCCGAAATCTCCCTGGGAATCGTAGACGATCACACACGCATCCTCGGCCCAGTAGCAAAAAGGCGTGCGTGCGTCTCCATCACTCCACCTTAGCCTCACAAACACGCCCAGCGACAAGGCGCAACAGCCTCTGGCCCAGGTGGCGGACCGCCACGACGCTTACCGCCTCATGCGGGCCAGCACGTTCCAGCTCCTCTGCCAGATCTCCGAGAGCCTGGCACCAAGCCTCGGCCAGTCTGTCACCGCGGTGGAGCTGCGCGGCGAGTTCAGGGCCCTACTGGCCGAGGAGGCGGCGGCGGCCGAGGCGGGAAGGTGCCGAGAGGTTGCCAGCGGCTACGACCTCGCGACCCTGAGCCGCATGGAGGCCGGCCTGGGCCGCTACACGCCTGGAAAACAAGCTTGCCACCGGGAAAGCAACGGAGGATAAACATAGACCAGGAGGCGGTAGGCGGATGCAAGGGGGAAAGACAGACTGGCATGGATGGCTTGGTTTGCTTTTCTTTTTCCGTCAACGATTTTCTGCCTTACGGACAGTGGTTTTTTTTGGTTTTTTTTTTGCCATAGAGCAGGTTGGTAGAATGATGAGAGACGATGCACATCCTGCACGGCCTTGGCACACGCGCACATGGTCCTTGCACGGCTTCGGCTGTATGCATTTGCTTGCCTTTTTCTTTTGTCAGTTTTGTTCCTCTTCACGAACAGCATGCCAGATATCACACATGTCCCCCAACCTTTTAAATGGAGAAATTCTTTTTATTGGCTTAGGCTTAACGTAGTAGCGATGTTTATTGATTCACCTTGGAGGAGCGGAGTCTTTGAAGAAACCCATTCGTGTGTTCTTTTTTTCTTTCTCTCTTGCTACTCCTCCCACCGTTCCCGTCCTCAAACCAACTATACCAGCTCATCCCGCCACGGGATCGAGTCCTGGGCGCCCTTCCTCTCGACCGTCCTGGCGGCGGCGCGGTTGGCGGCGCGCACAGCGGCCTCGACGTCCAAGGGCTCGCCGCGGGACGAGGCGGCGACGGCGGCGAGCGCGTACATGCCGACAAAGGTGTCGCCCGCGGCCGTGGTGTCGACGACGACGACACCCCTCTCGGCCGGCACCAGGCCGGCGTGGCTGCCGCCCCCGTCGCGAAAGTAGACGCCGCGGCCGCCCAGCGTGACGACGACGTTGCGCACCCCCTTGGCCGCGAAGCCGTCGGCCACGGCGCGCAGCCCGGCCTCGGACTCGAGCGCCGCCTCGGCCACGCCGCCCAGGACGGCGGCCTCGGTCTCGTTGAGCACCAGGTGCTCGAGCCCGCGCAGCGCGTCGGCCGGCAGCGCCGCCACGGCCGGCGCCGGGTTCAGCAGCGCCGGCACGCCC